CAAGCCTAACTTCATTTTGCTTGGTTTCTCTAGCAAGATAAAAGGATGTAAAAAGATGGTTAAAAGAAAACTGAAGCTCAAAATAAGTGAAAAGATGGTCACACATTGTCTAAATAGGAGATGAGCATTAAAATAATCACAAGACTGTACTGATGGATGTATTGCAAATATCTTAAAGTGTTCTTGGAGAGAAGCAAATATCTTGATTTTCAGAAAGATTTCAAAATGTAGACCAGTGAGTTTAGCATCAATAATCAGCAAAATTCTAAATCAGATTATTTAAACAAATGGTTCATGAACAATTATGAATTAAAAGTGTTCCTAAAAGCAGGCATGAGTTAACTAAAATAAATGTTGTTGTATTACTTGCTATTCTAACTTCAAATTGGAGGAGAACATTACAGACATTTGTTTTTTCTGAATTTCAACCAAAATTGAACTATTTTGGTTGTCTTCACTATTGGAGGACATTTTTATCTGCTTATGTTCATCAACAGGCTGAAAGAATAAATCCAGCTACCAGTGTTTAAGTCTTTACAAGAAGGGAGAATGAAGGAAAAGTTAGTATCCCTGGAACTAATGGGCCTTGAGAAGAGGATTGAACAAATTACATCTTTATTTAAAAAATTTAAAAAAGAAGTGCTGCTGTTAATAGTTTCTTCAAACTATATTTCTCTAACTTTTAAAGGCATGAGTAAACTTTAAATTCTTTTGTCCAAAACGTTGATGATTTTAACCATATGCTTTTTATGCACATCCAAAATACCTACCTACATTTGCCTTTTTATGTTATATTATGTTTTTTGGTAAGACTTGATTTCCTAAATATCATTCCATCCTAGACAGTAAAAACTCTGCTATTCTTATAAGAACTAAAGTCTGCTGGTTCCAAGGTATCATAAAATTTGCTCAGGTTCCCTGTAGAAAACAGAATGAAATCACCACTTTAACACTTTTTCCTTCAACTTCGGTATACCCAGAAGGCTATTGCTTAGAGTTGCCAACTCTAATTGTGCACATTGGCTTTTACTAAGTCAATCCAACATTCAAATTCAGAAACCATTACCAGCAGTACATTTATGTTTTATAAAGATGCAGTTTTTCTAATCATATTTTCAAGGCCCATTGGTTCCAGAAATACAA